TTAAATTGTAAAAGTACCGAATTAGGTACAATTCTAACTACTGTTCCATCACTGACTGATGCAACACAATTGTTGTTCACCCGAACATGTTGGATACAACTCACAGCTTGTTCGCCTGCAAAATCCGACACTGCTGGGAAAATAAAAAGTCTTGTATCCAACAGATACTATTTTGCTTTACGCCGGGGAGGAAGTACTGCGCGCGTACGCGTCGTTTTTACACGTCTTAACAAAAAAAAATGTGATAAAAAACATTATACAACTTAACAGTGTTAAGCTGACACCGAGTTTAAGTGACGATAGCGGAAATAGGCTTTTTTTGATTTAATCGCATGTAAACGAAACGAGTTTAAACGAAATTCGAATTAAATACTGAATAATGTATATATTTTCCAAAATGTTAACAAATAATTTCGCCTTTTTTTAAAGCTGAAAATAGTGCTTAATTTCGAATGCAAATAAAAACGAAGCAATAATAATGGAAAAACGATATGCGAATTAATTTATTGAATTATTGAAAATACATACATACATAAATTAAATGTAGTGCAAAGTGTTTGAAGTAACGAAAAAAAGCCGCTGGCGTGGCATAGATTGAAGTAAAGAATTACCTACGAATTAAAAAAAAAATACACAGGTGTAATCGCATTTGGGTTAGTGTGTGTGTGTGCGTTGTTTTTTTTTTGATTATACAACAAGTGGTAAAGAAATTATTTTATTTTGCGGTGTTTTTATGAGTGTTTTGTTTACAATTGTATGTATAAATGTGTGCGTACACGTAGCGGCGAGTTTTACTTATACAATATTGTAGGAATGTGTGTGAGCCGCCGCCTATCAATGTCGACAGCGATAAGAGTTCACACGAGTAAATGCATAGAAAATATGGAAATGTGTGCATATTTACAAAAACAAAAAGGCAATGGCAATGTGCTAGTTTATTTTACTGCTTGTTAATTTATAATACACGATCTTTTTTTTATTTTCCTTTGCTGTAATCGAAATGTATCCGAAGCAGCGTTAACCTATCAGCAGCTATACGTAGGATGTGATAAGAATTTCGGCACGCTGCTACTGTGAAATACATTTGCTCATACATATGTATATATGTACATAATTAAATTTTGAGGCTGAAAAGTTATAAAAAAGTGTACATTAGGATGCCTTTTTTTGCGACTATTGTTTTTTTTTAATTCCTACCTCGAAATTTAGTGGAACACACCTAAAAAACCTCCCTAAGAATTTGAATCCTTAAAATTAATATAATAATTAATATAAAAATAATAAAATACACGTCAACTTTGATTTTTTTTTGTAGGCCATTCAATTTTATACAAACAAGTTCTGGAACACCAAATCACTAACACCGATATATCTTGAGATATTGGGCTTTGAAGTTGAGGTAGCGTGGAATTTTCATTGTTTATTGAGCTAAATTGTAGAAATTGTTGATCAACTTCAGCCCAATATCTCAAAAAATATCGATATTAGCGATTTTTGAAACTGATGTTCCTACAAATTTGTCATTTACATTTTTTCTGTAGCTCTTATTGTTTACGAGATAGGGGCAAAATAAACGGGAATTTAATGAAAATATTGGGTTTGGTGACCCGTATTAATTCCCTGGTGGGAGTTAGAGTTACGCCGCAATGGACAGCATTCAATTCTGATTCTCATCCGTTATTGACCATAATTATATAATAAAATGCCTCTGAGCTGTAGAGTATTGAAAAAAATCCATATGGGAAATCTTTGCCCGTCTTGGGCGAGTAGTAAATGTTAATATTAAGGGTTAAAATTTTCAAGGAGTTTTTTTAGGTGTTTTCCACAAAATTTCGAGGTAGGAGTGAAAAAAACAATAGTCGCAAAAACAAGCACCCTAGTGTACATAATTAATTAGTGAGATGACAGTGGTGGGAAATATTTTGAAATAAATGAACCAAATTAAATTCAAAAAAAAAAAAAATATTAAGGAAAACATAAACTGAATTTTGTAAATTAAAAATACATAAATTGAATTAAATTATAAATAAAAATAAATCAAATTAAATTAAATCATATAAATGATTAAATTAAGCTAAATTAAATTTAAATAAAATATACAAAAAATTAGTTAAATTAAAACTAATAAAATAAAATAAAAAATTTAATTAAAATATGCATATAAAATTAAATTGAATTGCCATTGCCTGAACCAAATAAATTAAAAAAAAGTTATATTAAAATAAATATATATAAAACTATGTAAAGCAAATAGAAAAAAAAAATTAAATAAAATTAAATTAAATTAAACTTAATTAAATTGAAATAAGCTTGTATATGCATATCAAATTAAATTTAAAAAAATTTAAATAAAAAGTGATATTAACATAAATTATGCAAAATTAAATTGAATCAAAATATATAAAAAAGTATATTAAATTAAAGCAAATAACATAAAATTAAGTTATAATTTAAACTGAAATTAATTAAACCTAAGCAAATTAAATTGAATTTAATTAAAATAAATTTAACAGAATAAAATCAAAAAATTAATTTAAATCAAACCAAATCTGCAGAATAAAATAAAACTAAACTACATAAAGTATAATAAAGTAAAGCAAGATAAAGTAAAGTAGAAAATAGTACCTTAATCACAATAAAATAAATATAAATAAAGTAAAATAAATTCAAAAAAATTGAAAACAGTTCAAATGATATAAAATAAAATAAATTAAAATAAAATGAATTGAAATATAACAAAATAAAACGGAAAAGTTAAATAAAACAAAATTAAATAAATAAAACAAATATATTTAAAATCAAATAAACTAGAATAAAAAACCATAAATTAGAATAAAATGGTATGGAAACAAAATAAAATGAAATAAATTTAAATAAAATACCATAAGTTAAAATAAAATAAAAAGAAACAAAATAAAATAAATTCAAATAAAATAAAATAGAATTAAAAATTTAATTTAACTAAAATTAAATTAAAATATCCAAAATTAGATTAAAGTGTCTTGAATTTTATTAACGCTGTTTATAGTATCTATGCAAAATTTATGAAAATCGACGTGAAAAACATGAGCACAAACAAGCATAGCACTGCTGGCAGCAAAGCAAAGCAAAGAACAACACTTGAAAAGGTAAATAATACAAAAACAAAATACCAGAAAAGTGCTAGGCAACGACACTACCTGTTGCTCAGAGCTACACTCGTACTCGTAGTCGTGCATTTGCCAAGGTTAACTGTTCAGCATTGCTGCACATCTAAAGATACTTACTCACACACTTGCAGACGTACATAAGTGAATTTGGACATGGCTTTAATACTGTTGGCTAGCTCAGCATGGAGCGCGCTCAATGCGTAGCCGAGTTATGGCACCTACTCTGAAGTATTTAACTTTCACGTACATACATACATACGGTTAGAATATGGCTGAGATTCCAACGCAAATGTGGACAGGTAGAATGCAACGACAAGTGAGATTGCATGCATATAAAAAGTCATACATACATACATACACATATGCAAATGCATAATGCAGAAACACGTTCATATACATATGTAGATATGTATGCAGATAACCGGCATTAGAGTGGCGCAAACTATTCGCTTGCGATTAACGCAGTTTCTTTTGGATTTATAGTTTGTTTACGAATAATCTTTGTTACGCTATAACGTAAAGCACATAAGCAAAGTGAGAAAATGCTCACATTTCACGTATTTCACGGCCAGTACATTACCACTAATCCCAATACCGAGTCAAAGCAAATTCACAACACCAAAAGTTGTGCGCTTCAAACGTAAAAACTAGGAATGTACCTACCGAAACTATTGCCGGTGTAAAGTAAAAAAAAAACTTGGTAAAACGATTACGAATAGCGCAGTCAAAGAGAATAGAAAAAATAAATAAAAAATAAGGAAAACTTAAAAAAAGTTGAAGACAAGAAAAGCATAGTAACTGCGTCAAAGCACAAAGCCTAGTAACGCAATGAAAGCAGCAGCGGTAATAAAATTACAACAAAAAAGCAAAAAAAAAAAAATTTCGAAAAAACTCACAACGTGACTGCTGACCGGTTTCTATATGCATACATACATACATACTTAAGTATGTATATCAGTATTGTGCTTTTGTTGATGCTTTTAGCTGGCTGTTGCTGTTTTTGTTGCCATCGGCGCGGTTACCAAGTATTTAGATGGCCCAATGGTGTTAGTGTTTTTTTGTTTATTTTCTCGATGCTCTTTTGCGGTGCTTGTGCTCGTGTTTTTGGCCGTTTTCTTCATACTCCAAATGCCAAAGATTTTCAATTTGCTGTGCTTTGATTAAAAAAAAAGACAGCTACATAAATAAAGCAAAGATTTCCATTAAATCTTATCAGTAATATTTTTTAAATTTGTATGTATGAAATATTTGAATTTTTTTTTGTAATTAATTTATTTTAAAGGCAAATATTAAAAAAAAAACATACATATATATCAAAAAACAGTAGTGCATAAAAAAATACTGCAAAATTGCAAAAGAACTCGAAACCCTAAAAAATTTTGCAGATTTGTCAAAGCTGGTTATAAATAATATATAAAATATTTTCGAATTTCGAGTTCTCCAGCTTTATGCTTTTAACGGCGTGCCTTAAAAAGCAGAAATACATATTTGCTACTTAAAACTAAATATTAATTTAAAAGTAAGAAAGGAAAAGCTTGATGAAAAATCAGTCTAAATAAGCAGCTAAAAATGGGAAGAACCTTTACGAAACTCAAAATCGATTTTTTTTTTAAACGCAGTGTTTTTGTGCTAAAACTTTCTAAACAAAAAATTATTAGGTTTAGTGGAAAAGCGTTTCTGGAATTTGAGTAAAGATTTCGCAAAAAAATCCGATTACAATTTGCCTGCCGAAAACTCTAAAATTTATATTTGCTTTTATTTTTTTTTTTGAAGTTCATTATTGCTAAGTGAAAGTTTAAATAAAAAAATCACAAAAAATACGAAAACTTGAAGATCTAAGAAAAAGCTGCAATTCTAAGTATACAAATATGTTTGACAGCAAATTTTATTTTTATTTAAAATAATACCACAAAAATGCGCTCATAGCCAGCGCATTTAATCCGAAGTTTTATTTAAAAACTCATGAATACAAAATACTTATAATAATTACTTAAAATCAAATAGTAAAAAGAAAGTTTTTAGTTTAAAAAAGTGTCGTGTAAAATTTTCCAAATTTTGATAGCCAATAAACAACACAACATGAGTGGTTATTATATCAAACAACCGCCAATTGCATCCAGCCACTCGTCGGTGCAATGCCTTCGCAATAAACGTGCAAAAATTACAGATGCAACAGTTGCCACATGCAACACAGCAGCAGCACCCATTCGATTATTCCAAATAACAAGTTCGTTCCTGCTGTTACTGTTGCTTAACCTCAGCATTTCACACATTCCACGAAGTTGGGCCTTCAATCTGGAGAATCGTTTGCCGATCGTTAAATATGGACCACATACGAATTCATATTTTGGCTATTCGATTGCAACGCATACGGTGGGCGAATATAATTGGCCGAATAATACAAAATGGTGAGTGAAAAATATTTGAAAATAGTTATCATTCGCTTATGAACGCCGCGATTCGGGCACAGATGCTGACCTTTAAGAAAAAGGCAGATATCATCTATACGGTATTGAATATTCTAATTTTGTCTGTGACTTAGCATGACTCAGGATAAGCTTATAGAACGTATGATGAGTTCGAGAGCCGTTTCCTTTTAAACGTTGGCTATGAAAGCAATACCAAACATTGGAAAACTCCGCCCGTTGATATTTATTTTATAGCCCTTAAAGCAATATCACTAATAACAACGTGCGACAAAAACAACAAAACTTCAAATTACACGAAACAATCAATATACTCACGAAACTATGGGTGAGACTGGGTTTTTTGTTTTCCACTGTGACGGATTTTTTTTTAAAGGAATTTGAAATTTTAAAGATATGATTAATTCAAAACATCATTTGAAAAAATCATTGCAATGCAGAATAGCAATATGGGTACCAAATAAAAATGAAAATTTTGTAGAATTTGAAATATTTTTTTTTTTTGGTTTACAAGGACGAATAGGTATTGAAAATGCGCTGTTAATAAATCTTATTTTTTTAAGCTAATAAAAATTCGAGGATGAGGTCGTGTGTATCTTAGTTTCAAGGATATTCAAGGACAAAATTTTAAAAGGACACTTTAGCATTTAAGCTTTTTTAATTCTAAAGAATTTTCTCTTTCATTTGGTATTGTTATTCTGCATTGCAGTGTATTTTGTAGATCATTTTTTTAATTAATCATATTTTTCAAATTTTAAAGTCCTTTAAAAAAATGCGGACGGCAGAGAGAAAAACTATATAGTACTTACGCAGTTTTACTATAATTTGCCCATAGTTTCGCGAAATTTTTCTTTTTTAGTGTGTGAAATTTATTATCGCACGGTGTAACCAGCGCATATATTCCAACACCTTTTCAAATCTTCAAAACACTTTTCACGTGTTCGAATTATCTGTTAAACGACCTAACTTCGAGAAGACCATTCAACGTTTGTCAAAGTAAATGACAATTAAGGTAAACGACCTACACTATTTTATTTTGTTTGTTTGCTTTGAGTCTCTAATTTATGTGCTCCATTGTCTTCTCGTTAAAGGTTCACTTCCTAAACTTTTTGTCTTGCAATAAACATAGTGCATAGGACTGGTTTACCTACCAGAAATCTAGAGCCTGCTCTTTTCTAATTATAACAAGAAATATGTAAGTTTTCTGCAATATGTACAATCTACACATATTCTTCGCCACCCTGAAGCGCTGAATATCTACATCTTGTCTGTCTGGCGATACAGCAGCAGGCCATGGAATTGTTTGATTTCTTGTAGAGGAATTGGTATCTCCGTCGCTAATGAGGCGTATAAGAAAATGCCATCTCTTCCTAACTCCACAGCTCTTTCGTTAACTATGGTGTCCTGGGACCCGATAGTTACAGGTGGAGGGTTTCTGCAATTTCTTCCATATAACATAAACTTCTATTTAAGTAGATTTTAGTATATGAAAATAGAGCCTTGATGGCGGCCCGTCTATTTATCCGCTTACTCGGCGCATTTATTTCAGCATGAAAAATGCTACTGAAGCCAGGTTGATAAAAGAACCTGCAAATTTCCAGCTCAAATCAGTAAATGTGCGATGAATCTTCTACCATCTCCACACCCCTATCGCAAACGCAAACCTTTATTGTAGCTCCAAGAGACCTTTGGAAACTCAGGCGCGGGAGCACATTAATCACACATTAGCCTTGTCGAGCATAGCGCTGTACTGCTGTGACCATACCTCTGAATTCAAACGGATCCGATGCATGAAATCTCGTGACATCGTCCAGTAGGTCTTCAGGTCTTCTCCAGACTGGAAATGGAGTATCCATTTGCTAGTGAAGAGTATTAAGGCGGTCTTCTTCGCCTTAATGCTTAATTCCTCTTCTGTATCCCAGTCGGGGAAGTCTATCACCGTTTGGTTCGCCCGAGTGCTGACGGTCATCAGACTTTTGCCTCCGATGCTTACATAGAAGGAGCGAGAACACTCTTCTTTGCGCTGTACCACTATGCTCGTTCCACCGTGCGGTTATTTTGCTTAACCAATTCATGAGAATGGGCTGAATCTCATCTTTTAAGGCATGGTTGGAGACATTCAGCTACATAAGTATGCGCTAACCGTAGATGACAATCTGGCTCCATAGAAAAATTCTCGTATTTCCAGAAACCCAATCGATTTAATGAAAGACTCATGACTTAGGATCGACTTCACAGTCACTGTCGATCTGATATATGTACGGCGCAAAAAATGGGAACTTAACACTTGACAGACACTAAGCCAGCATTTAATAGTCTTGCTTGCCCAACTCTTCTTTAACTTTGCGCTCACTTCTCAGGAAAATTACAAATTCATTCAAACATAATTTGTTTTAAATTATCTATCTAAAAACCCCATAACCAATAACCGGTTTGCCACAGCCAACCACAGAATCGTCATTGAGTTACTAATTCATTCAACATAAATTTTCTTAAACAACTCAATTCATTTATGCAAATGAAATAAATAACCAATAATTTCATTCAACATTTATTTCAATGATGCAATTGCTGATGCAGCTGAATGAAGTCTAAAAAAAAAATATAAATAAAAATAATCTCAAGTTTTTAGTCAGAAGAATGCAGCATTTTAACTCTACGTATGCATACATACATACATACATATCGGACACCGTCTTCAAAAGGGGCACAACTCAAAATTACACGTTTGTTAGAAAATGCGAAAAACTATTTCTTAGCACATGATAATCATATAGGCCTTTGTTTTTTTTTAACAAATTATAACAAAACTTTGCTCGAGCTTTTGCTGAAATGTATGTAAATAAAGGCTCCTGTGCAAATTTTTAGCGCATAATTTCAAAAATTACAAATTTTGAGTTGTGCCTCTTTCGAAGACGGTGTGCTGTATGCATGTGGAATAGCCAACAGAGGCAAACGTACAGTCATAAAATCAACAAATCGTTTTGAAATACGACGCGCAAAAATGCAGATTTCAGCGAAAAATCTCGTTTTTTTTTTGTTTGCATTACACAAAAATTTTTGCAACTGTTTGTCTGCTTCTTTAAGCTCGTCGGCTGTTTTTTGTGCTAAGTTATTTTCGCCATAAATGCACAATTAACACCGCGGAGTTGCATGCAAAATTGATGTTGAAAATTGAAGTAAATATTTGAGAAAAAAATAAAAATAAATTGCAAATGCAATGGACGATTTTTTTTTTGCTGCTGATTGCGCAAATTGAAACGCAAATTGGACGATGAGTAAATCATCGCTCCGAATAAAATCCAAGAGATATGTTTTGGCAAAGCATTAAAAGGTAAATTTGCGCTTAATTTTAGCAAAATTTTAAGTGCTAAGTAAACTGTAATGTGATCGTGAAAAATGCAGAACGCAAACGAGTAAAAAGTGGATACAACCTTCACAAAAAAAAAATGCTTAAGCGACGATAAGCGCATTAGGGTGTTACGCTTTATATACTAAATTTTTTTTATTTATATTTTTATTATCGAAGTCACTTAGTACTAAAAGCGGTAAAAAAATGTAAATTACCTTAAAATCTTCTATTTACAATACCATTCCAGAAGGTATCTTAAAGCAAAAAAAAAAATAAATGCAGTTATTGTCTTTTGCCTTAAACATTTTTCTCATAAAGCTCACCCTATTACGCTCATCTCACATAAGCGTGTATAGGTATTGCGAAAATATTGCATTTCAAGCGAAAAACATTATCGTGACAAAAAATATTTGCTCGCCCGAAGAATTTATTATTTTGTTTCCAAGTATTTTTAAACGTTCTCCACTTCCTTCCCTAAGTACTGCAAATGTTTGATAAGACTACGAGTGCAAGATAATCTGATAGTAAATAATTTTGGTACAAACTTAAAATGACTGGATTTTTTTTTTTAAATTTGTTTTGGACTCATATATGTATATTTATCTTGTTTAGTTTTGGATGAGTCTACAATATTTACTTAAGCGCCTCAGCGCGATGATGTTTACTTTGCCTTGGGGTTGAAATGAATGAAATTCATTCTCATCCAGTTTTATCAAATGTAGAGCCTTTTTGAAAAAAAAAAATTTCTTAAAATAAACATATTGCAGTATATTTTGCGAGTTTGATTAAATTATTGATCAAAAAAATCGGTAATAAATGTTCGTTTTCCATTTTTTTAATCACAACCACAAACAATGCCTCTCTGTTGTGCTTAATTTTTGGTCCTTGGGCCTTGGCTGTTTTTATTTTATTGGTCATAAATTCGATAGTTTAAAGTACAGCTGTTTGTAATTTCAAGACCTTACAGTGCGCTTTCTTTCATCGCTGTCCAAATTGCTTTTTAAGTTATAATAATGTGCAAATTTCAAATGTCTAAAAAATCGCGTTGATTTTAGAGTTTCTTTTCTGACTGTCCTACGCATTTTTTCCATATTAAAAATTTTCAAAGTTTTTTTTTATGAAAAAAAAATGCGGGACAGTCAGCTAAAAAATCTCAAAAGTCAACGCAAATTTTTAGACATTTGAAATTCGCACATTTTATATTAAAATTTCAATGGGCTATAAAACTGCATATCTACCCTTAATTATTTTTAGAAATTCGAAATTAAAAAGTGCGCGATTTGCAGAATTTTCTTAAATTTCGTACACTGCTGCATCTTGGATTTTAATGGGTTTTGCTAAAATATAAGCCACATTTTAATACAAAATTAACAAAAAGATTTTAACATGTAAAACAATGCGAATATTAACAAAAAAGAGCCGTACGCTCAATTTTGGGAGTAACAGTACACACATACATATTTCCCCTACATTGTTTGCATCATCATAGATATTTCGAAATTTCAATATTTCTGTCATATTCTGTCATATACTACAGTTAATAATACGCGATGCCATTTTGGTTTAACATCGAACTAAACAATTTTGTGCAACATAGCATTAAAGACGCCACAAGTATGTTTCCGCTTAA